CGCTTTTTCTCACGGCGGGAAGGCCGAGAAGCAAAACAAGCTGGGAGGTAGTGGGGTGGGAGTCAGCGGCCAGAACTAGGCCATAAAACTGCCAAGAGGCTTCCAACGGCCACCCTCCCAGGACGCTGCTGGGCAGACAAATATTTGCATTGGGTACCCCAATAGCTCTCGCTGGTAAAGAGCGATGAGGCATCTCAGAATGCAATGCTAGTGCGACGGGTTAAACTGCGTTGCATTTCAGAGCCAGACAAATTGTGAACATTTGTACAAATTTAATGCAAGTTTTAATTTGGAAAGTTTATATCGTTGCGTTTCGACGTTAATAGTCCTTTACTAGAGTGAAAAGAAGTAACAATTTTTTTTCAACCATAACATTTTAAGGACTTGGCTAATTAAGTCTCTTGTATGTTTTAATAATTTATTATCTCAAACTTATACCTAGTCCACGATGACACGCATCTGTTTTCCTCGCTTAAATGGACAATATCATAACAGGAAAGAAATTTCCTTTAAATCTATCCTCGCAATTCTTCCAGCCTACTTCGAAAGTTTTTGCACAGTCGATTTATTTCAAGAGCTTTGCTCTCTAAGGATTTTGTTTTGTTAGAATTATTTAAGAACGAGCTGGAGAAAGCGAGAAAGCATAAAATGCTACGCACAGACTTGCTAAAAACACAACGGAGCCGGTTGCTGGGGGTCCGTTCCGGACTTAAAACAAGGAGAATCGAGATTTCTCAACCAATTTATTTTACAATTTGATCTTGTAGAAGCCTGGACAAATTATATATCGAATATTGTTTTTATCAGTTATTTTGCACACCTTCCCTTTAAAGGTCTGTGACTGGGGTGCGGGATTTGTCATTTGATGTGGTCGTTTCGAAGTTTGTACGGCAGCGGTATTCGTGGAGAGTTGGAAATTGCAGGGCACGGGTAGAAATAAATCCAGGTCCGGGCGAACAGTTCGAGGTCCCAGCGCTTCAGCAAAATTTTCAGAAATCCAAAAGCAAAAAAAAAACTCCGGGAAAGCTGTAAGTCTGAACCTGAATTGAAATTATCAGTGGAAAACCCATACACAAGCAAGAAGAATTAATTAAAGCCTTATTTTCAGATACTGATCCGGAATCTGTGCATTTTCCAGTTAATTTAAGGATTCCTCTGTGTTAGTATCTAGTCTCAAACTTCACTGCGCAATGGCACTAAATCTAGATTCTAAATCCGCAAGAGGTTCGCGAGAAAGCTTGGACCGAGATTCTAGGGAGTCAGAATTTTAAAAAATAATCCTTTCCGCTCGCTTTTTCCAGATTAGAGTGAGAATTTCGAATTAAGTAGTATCCGTTCAGAATAGGGTGAAATGAATTTTAATATACAAATTGCATCAGAAAATGAAAGTGGGATTAGGGACTTTAAATCTTTATTGACCAGCCTGGACATGATGGGCCAAACGGCCTCCTTCTGTACTGTAAACGTTTGAATCGATAAAAGGCGTGTTACAGTAGCAATGTCTCCAAAACAGTTGGTCGGAATGATAGAAGTCCTGAATGGTTTAAAAGTCAACAAGTGCAAAGATGTGCAGGCTAGGTAAACTGGCCATGCTAAATTGTCCCGTAGTGTCTGGCGATGTACAGACTACATGGATTAGCCGTAATAAATGTGAAATTACGGGCATAGGGTTGGGGCTCTTGGGAGGGTCGGTGCAGACTCGATGGGCCGAATGATCTCTTTCCGCTCGGTAGGGAACATAGAACAGACCCTTCGGTCCAACTAGTCCAGTCTAACCATGTTCCCAAACCAAACTAGTCCCACTTGTCTGCGTTTGGCCCATCTCCCTCCAAACTTTTTCTATTCGTGTACTTATCCAAATGTATTTTAAATGTAACGCTACCTGCACCCACCACTTCCTCAGGCAGCTCATTCCACATACAAACCACCCTCAATGTAAAACCGTTGTCCCTCATGTCCTTTTTAAATCTTTCTCCTCTCACCTTAAACCTATGCCGTCTAGTTTTGAACTCCCTCTCCCTAAAGAAAAGATCCTTGCTATTTACTTTATCTATGCCTCATGATTTTATAAATCTCTATAAGGTCACCCCTCAACCTCCTACGCTCCAGTGAAAAAAGCCCCAGCCTATCTTATAATTCAAATCTTCCATTCCCAGCAACAACCTTTTCTGAACGCTCTCTAATTTAATAATATCCTTCCTATAGCAGATTTTTTAATTCAATTATTCTATACAGTGCTCAACATACAAGTTACTGACACCCTAATCCGACAGAGAGTAATCACAGTGCTTGTAGTTCAATTTGGCTGTGTGCGCGTGTGTTTGTAGGTGTGAGTAACTGCTTATCTTACATGTATACTTTTTATTGTTGCGATTTTGACATATAATCTCTTGAATGCATCTTGCTCGTAAGATTTGCATTTACTCTCAATCCCGTGGAATTGAAGATAAATTGGGGGCCGGGGTGTTTAGGAATTGGCTGATTTTTGTCATTAAAAGATATTAAGGGGTGAGATACGGTGGATAGAAGCAAGATGATGAGGAAATTTCTTGAATTCCATGTGGAGCGGTTACTCCCACAAGGCGTGTGTGTGATTGTGAATAGGTCCGCGTACGGTGAGCAGGTGGGGGGGGGGGGGGATTCTTGATGTTATCCTCGTTATCGGACC